CACTGGGGTTACTCAAGCTGTAAGGGCTCGTGGCCTCAAGCTTGGCATTTATGAGCCTGAATCAGCAGGGAGGAGACCAACTTCAGAAGCCTTGGCAGCAGTGCCTGAGACCCAGGACTCTGAAGGGGGACCTACTCATGGCGTTCAGGCCATGGCCACCTTGGACCTGTTTTCCCTGAAGAGCCCAGAGTACACTGCTTGGCTCCACACCAATATGAACTTCTAGCTTTAGGCTCCGGCCCCTGCCTGTGAAGACCCCATCTTAATCGGCACTGCCCACAGCCTGGGAGGGTCCACTACCCCTCACTGGGTTTGGCACTTCAGAAGGCCACACATCCTCCACCACAGGATTGAATAGAAAGGGAAAAGTGAGTATATACAACTTGTCAAGTTGGTGTTGGGAGATAAACTGATCCTGTCTTAAGGTTTTCTTTGGCTTTTACTGTATGCAGTCACAGAGGAAGGACATCAGTTGATCTGTAGTGGATCCAACTCCAAACAGTAAGTGAGGTAGTAAAGGGTTTGACCTAGTTGTGTAAAATGGGCCTGATGAAGAACTCTCTCTTGTTCTCCTGTGGGGAGGAGATGTGAGTTTGTTTGGAGGGTGGAGAGGGAAGGCAGGATGAAGAGTGGTGGAGGAGGAGACAGACAGGGAGGAGAAGTGAGACTGCTGGTAAAGCAAGAGTGGCATGGATCCCCTCCAACAGGGACCCACCCACCGGAGCAGGAGGCAGGAAGGTGCTGCCCAGGTGGTGTCAGGGCTGCTGGGCCATGTCCTGGTGCGATGACCTCCCACAGCGGTCAAGAAGCACCAGGCCTCAAGCCAAGGCCTGTGGGCCTGAGCCTCTCCAGCTGTCTCATCACTGGTTTCCACTGCATGGAAGAGAGGCTCCCAGTACAGGCACATAGGAAATACTATTCCCAGCAGCTGAGCCTAGCATGGCCAGCAGAGGGCTCTAACTTACCTTCTCAATGCCATGGGCACCAAGCTGCGAAAGCCCCTTGTCCCTGTCACTCAAGGGACAGCCTTGATGGCTTAATCTGATGATGTAGGAATTTTCCAGTTCAGTATCAAGTCACACCAAATCAGAGGCGCTTTGAAAAGTTTACACATTTACAAAACGAAGATTACAAACTAGTCAATACCTGAAATTCGGTTGTATATTAGCCAGAATGCAGGCACCAAACCAAGTAGAAGAAATGAACACTCCACGTTAACTCAAGTACACCCCTATCTCATTGCCAACTCCCTTGTACCCCTCAGGAGCTTCTTTCCTAGGAGTAGCCTCTTTTGACTTGTAGGTTTCACATTGCTTTTTGTAAATTGGGGAGGTGGGGTCCTAGGATTCCCCTGAAGGTTCTGCTGGGGTGGCATATGGCTCCATACTCTGTACATGACAGGAGCACAGGGCACATGTTTATCCGCTAGGTACCCTAAAGGATCCCAGGCTTCTGTGCAAAAGATTTTTCTTTTCTTTTTTTTCTTGGTACCAGATATTGGACCCAGGGCACTTAACCACTCAACTGCATCCTCATCCCTTTTTTGCTTGTTGAGACAGAGGTCTTGGGGTCTTGCTATGTTGCCTAGGCCTCACCAATTTGCTGAAGCTGGTCTCAAACTTGCAATCCTCCTTCCTTGGCCTCCTGAGCCACTGGGATTATAGGTGTACACCACCATGCCCAGCCATGCCTGGCTTTTTAAAGCATACATTACATAATACATTATGTAATTATTTTCTTAAGTGTGATTAACAAATGACAATTGTTGAATTTAACAAAAGGTTTTGTTATTAGCTTTTCAACTTTTTTGTAGGTCTAAATTTATTTCAAGTTGAAGAAAAATGTACCTTCTGGGTGTTAAGTTTCCTTTAGTAATCTCAGAAATTATAGGACTTAGGCAGTTTTTTTTTTTAACCTTTATTTTATGTATTTCCATGTGGTGCTGAGGATTGAACTAAGGGCCTCACACGTGCAAGGCAAGTACTCTGCCACTGAGCTACTGCCCCAAAGACTAAGTGCTGTGCTTTCAATGCTGATGTCAGATGTTTGTGGCAAGGCTTGCTCCACTACTTGGTGAACACTGCCCCAGGGGCACTGGCTTGTGCTAGTCCAGGAGTGACATGTGAGCACTGTTCCCACCTTTTGCCATCAGCTTGCTTCTATGTCTGTTGACTTGGTGGACACATTCCAACTGAACCTTGTATCTGCCAGCCAGACTGGCATGAGCATACCCTTTGACCAGACCCTTCCACTTGTGGGAACCTAGCCAAAGGGATTAACAAATATGCTGATTTCACTGTGTCCATAACCTTAGAATAAGCCTAACCTTAGAATCATACATAATCAATGAAAACAGTACTACAGAAATGTCTTCATTGATATGGAAAAGGACAGTCACCATTTACAGTGCAAAAAGCAAATCAGAAAATTGTATATTGTGAGCAAATTCTGTTTCAAGAAGTACATTTACAGATTTGGAATACATACCATTTAATTTGGCTTTTTCTGGGTAGGAAAATGTACTATCTTTTTTGCTTACCTGTTTTCCATATTCTTTATTAAACATCCATTGCTAAGCAATTAAAAAAAAATAATCAAAAAGATAAAAGTAGTTAAGATAGCATGATATTTAAACTCAATTATTATGGAACATCCTAATAAATTATAACTTAAACATGAGGATTGTATAATACCTAAATGTTTTAATCTTATATGCTTAAACATACAAGATGTAGCCTGATTGTGGTTAAGACTTTCAAGTTCTCAGCTTGGGACAGCTGGGTTACATCCTGGCTTTGCCACTCAGAGGAGTGACCCTAGCCAGGCTTCCTAGCCTCTAAATCTTTGTTTTTGTCTGTACAACAGGGATAGTAGCAATAATACCATCCTCACATCTTGACAGTCACATGTGAACATGAAATAATGCTTGGCATAATACCCAACAGTACTGAGTGCTCAATAAATTATTATTAAAGTAGATGTCTTAAACTTTCCCCAAGGGTCAGCCAATACCTTCTGTGTTCACTAGTCCTCCGGTTTAACCCTAGAGGACTCCATGGGCCTTATTAAAGCCATGCTGTGCATACTGCCTTGCTCATCCAAAAAGGTGCAGTAGCACTCCCAGATCATTCAACTTCTGTAGCCTCCTCCTCTGGTCATGAGGTGGGAGGTGGGGGTGCCAGTTAATCATTAGAGCAGTGTTCACCAGGTAAAAGGTCAAAGAACAAGGTGTGAAGCCCTGCTAGGGAAACAAGTACACTTTTAGGTTACACCAAATATAGCACATTTATTTGGAAACAGTAATTTCAAAATTATCTCCCAAACTCAGAATCTATAGACCAGTATAGATACCTAAAGTAAACAGGAGCAGTCTTCATCAACTGGTCAGTAACAAATAAAACTAAGTTAATTGATTACAAGGAGTAGTATTTTTCATGTTTCCCTGTTAAGAATCAGTTGGAGTGCTCTGTAAAAAGCTTCCTTGGAGATTAATTCCATTAGTTGATTCAGCTAGTCTGGATTGGGCCAGTAAATTTGGGAATTTTTATTTCCACACATGCCTCTAGATGGAACTTGGAACATGATATCGCAGATATTAAGTCTTGAACTACTGATCCCTGAAAGACTCACTGAAAAGTCTTATTCAGTTCAGGAAACAGACCTCTGAAGGTTTGGTTCAATACATTCTCCTGGTGGAAAGCATCACTTTATTTTGGTTGTTTCTAATTCTGTCCCAGCTTATCCAGATCATGTTTTTTCCAAAGGGTCCATTTTTCTTGACTGAGGTTTACCAACCCAATCGAATCATTCTTTAGAAGTAGTTTCTATTAAAAGATAGTCGCATTTAATAACCTTTACTTGTTTGTCTTGCTCCCTTCTCTCCCAACAGGAAGCGAAGGCGCTCTGTATACTTAATATTCTGACCTTTCCACCTTAAACCTCATACTGACCACCCCGTCTATGCCAGCCTCGATCTCATCATTTTCTTTAACTGGCCCAACTCCCTCAGGCGTCCCGGTCAAGATAAGATCTCCTTCTTCTAAGGTTATTATCTTAGAAATGTAGCTGATGATGTAGGGAATGGAAAAGATCATGGAGGATGTCTCGCCCTCCTGCCTGAGCTCTCCATTGACCTTGAGCCACAGTCTCAGGGCGTGAGGATCAGGGATCTTCTCTTTGGGGATAAAGGCGCTGACCGGGCAGGAGGCCGTGAAGCCCTTGGCCAGAGTCCAGGGTAGCCCCTTCTTCTTGCACTCGTCCTGCACATCTCTGGCGGTCATGTCCAGGCACAGGGCATAGCCGGCCACGTAGTCCATGGCGGCGGCCTCCGGGACTGCGCTTCCGCGCCTGCCCATGAGCACACCCAGCTCCAGCTCGTGGTGCAGCGTGCGGCAGTAGGTGGGCACCAGCACGGGCGTGCCCTCGGGCGCGTAAGCGGTGGACGGCTTCAGGAAGAGCACGGGCTCGCTGGGCAACGCGCTGCGCATCTCCTTGACGTGGTCCGCGTAGTTCCTCCCAACGCAGACGATGTTCTTCCCCCACTCCCAGAAGCGGGACAGTGGCCTCGGGGCCGCCATGGCGCAGCCCTAGTCACGTGGCCACCGGCTCCGGCGCCTACGGCAGCCTGGAGGGAACGCGCTGCCTCAGGACGCTGTCCCGTTGGCGACGCCCTATCCTACCTTGCAGTGCTCTTGCGGGGCGCGCCCGGTGGCTACGTCAGGATGCCGGCCCGGGCCCCAGAGAGACTGGGAGCACCGAACACAACTTCCCAGCTACCTCGGGCACCCATTCACGGGCCCGCCTCCGGCCCTCAGCAGCCCAGCGGGGAGGGAAGGAGTTGAAAGCGAGCGCGCTGATTGGCTGAGGTGGGGGCGGGGCGGGGCGAGGCAAATGCTGGTTGGCTGGGGGCGGGGCAGGGAGAGTCGGGACCTGTTTGGAGACGAAGCGGCGTAGGGCCGGCGCTTGTTGGGTGGGGGCGGGTCGAGTGGTGCGAAACGGGAGCTGATTGGCTGCAATTGCCGACGCCGGCGTTGCGGTCCCGTGCGGGGCAGTGCAGCCCTGCAGGTCATGGTGCTCGGCCGCAGGCTGTTCGGCTGCCGGAGCCTCGCCGCGCTGGGAGTCGCCTGCGCGCGCCGCGGCCTTGGTAGGTGGGCCGGGGCGCCGCTGTGCTGGGCGTTGGTCGGGCGCGCCGACGCCGTCTCCGGGGCCAGGAGCCGAGACTGCTGGTCCGGCAAGGAGCGGACGCGGCCACCAGGCCTCGGCGGGGCCGGGCGTGGTGAGGGTGTGGGCACAACCGTTCCTGCCTGCCGCCTCGGCCTACAGATCTTCCCCTCTCGGCGTCTGGCGACCGCGGGCCGCCGCGCCGTGGCCAACAGCCTGCCAGCCGAGTCCCAGTCCCGCGGCAGCCGCCCAGGTTCACAGTGCGTGACACACCCTTGCTAAGGAAGGAGCCTGCCCATTGAGGTTCTCAGGACGCAGTCTCTCCCTCGGGGACGCGGTGTCCCCGGAGCGCTGCATCGGAGCCCCTAACCCATGCGCTGGGGCGGCAGGTGCGCACAGGTGCAGAGAGGCGGTACTGGGAAACGCCTCAAAGTATGTTGTGGGCCACACAGAACATGTCTTCGGACTTGGCGCAGACCATAGGCTATAGCCCGTCACCTCTGCTCGTGCAAAACGTTCCAGGTGCAAACTAGTGAGCTGGAAGCGGTTTCTAGGCATGTTGGGAGAGTGGTACTTGTGGAAAAGGAGTAGGGTTTCTGGTGGTGCCGGCGCCTGGTGAACTCCTTCCTTAGGAATAAACGCATGCTCTTCAGCTTGCCAACAAGATACGTGTGTGTCTAGAGCAGGTTGAACACCGGCTATAAACAGTGTTCCTTTACTGTTTTTGTCTGGAGTGTTCTACCAGGAAATAGGTAAAAAGACTCCTTGTTGAGCATCCCCCCACCCACCCAGTCCTGTTTTCACTCTGATGTCCTCTGGTAGCTTGAATAGTGCTGGGACTTGGGGGAGGTAGAATGTCACAAAAAAGTAATCAGACAAAATGTTTATTTTGCTGAGTATGAATCTGGAAAATTCCCAGATAGTGTGTCCAGAAGGGGAACTGGAGTTCAGTGGTAGAGCACTCGCCTAGCACACACAAGGCTCTGAGTTCCGCCCCTAGCACCACCAAAAAAAAAAAAAGATTTCCCAGGCCCTGGCAAATAAAGTTAACCCCATATTTAGATGGCCCCTGGAGCAACATCTACCCAGAATCCCACTGTCCCTCCTTATATTTTCCTACTCTTTAAAACTATGACTTAAAGTGTTGGGGCCCCATGTATTTTTACATGTAATGGGAGTTTCATTGCCAAAAGTACTTTGACATCTGTCCATTGAGTGGAGGATGCTTTTGTTCCTGACACTTCTCGTGGCCTTCTGGCCTAGCCAGCCAGAGTTCTGTGGCTCACTTCAATGATGATTCTATGTCTCCCACCCTTGAATCCTGAGTGGTTGTGACCAGATCTGTTCCCCTGGAAGTGGTGTCTGGTGCATTCTCCACATCTCTAGTGCCTGCCATTTGGGAGCAAATGCTCTTTTCTCCTCCAGTTGGAGGCCTGAGGGCTGTGAATGACTGCATAGGACTGAGCTCTCTCTGGAGGTGAGCTGATGTGCTGGAGGGTACACAGCTGGGCACTGGTACCCTTCCTCTGCCTCCCATTCCTCTATTCTTCCTGAGTCAACTCCCCAGGGTCAGCCGTAGTCCTGTTTGACAGTGGTTTGCATCACACCACAAGTTGGCAGTTCTGTCTTATTTAGAACCCTCAAGAGAAAATAAAGATCTAAGTCTGAGAAAGCTAATTTCCACCAGTGTGTGCACGAGTCATTTTCTACATCCTTGTGGATGTGATTGAACCAAGACATTCTCTGTCGGAGGAACTCTAAAAAGCCAGCAAAGAGCAACAGGGTGCAGTAGTACACACAGTGGTTCCAGCAACTTAGGAGGCGAGGAAGGAGGATCACGAATTCAAGGCCAGCCTAAGCACCTTAGTGAAACCGTCTCAAAACAAAAAATAAAAAAGAACTGGGGATGCAGCTTAATGGTAGAGTACCCCAAAGTTCAATCTCTAATACTGACAAAAACAGAAACAAACACAGAAAAAAAGGGCAAGAGTGGCACAGGCCTGTACTCCTAGCCACTCAGGAGGCAGAGGTTGGAGACTTGCAAGTTCCAGGCCAGCCTCAGTAACTTAGCAAGATGCTTTCTCAAAATAAAATTAAAACCCTGCAGGGGAGATACATAGTTCAGTGCTTGCTTTGCAAGGCCCTGAGTTTATTTGGAGTGGGAAGGGGTGCGGCTCCTTTGAAGTCTGTTTGGTGTGCCCGCCCTTAGGCTGAGGACCTGAGGCTGCATCCTGTGTCTCCAGGCCCAGCCCTGCTGGGAACCCTCCTGTATTACACAGATTTAAGGAAGAGTTTGACTGTGGAACAGAGCGCCATGAAGGTTGAGCTACTGCCTGCCCTGACCGACAACTACATGTACCTGATCATTGACAAGGACACCAGGGAGGCTGCCATTGTGGACCCTGTGCAGCCCCAGAAGGTGCGAGGCTGTGCCCAGGCCCCTGTGTTTTGTCACCCAGTACCCTGTCTTCATCCCCATGGGTTAGAGCCACTGTGTCTTTGTAGCTCTGCTGAAGATGAGTGGAATTTAGCCCATTTAATTTTTGAAAGCAAACTAGTGTCCAGCCACTCTCTTAAGGGGGCATTAGGAGGGGTGGAGAAGACCACAGGCCCCATGTGGCAAGTACATGGGTCCTTTGGACATGACTGATCCTCCTGCCTCTGCCCCTTGGTGCTGTCTCTGGGAGGCTGACCTCAGCTGGAGGGATTTGAGGAGGTGGTGGGTAGGACCAAGAGCTCCAACTTAATCGATCAAGAGAAAAAGACCATCTTCCTCTATTGTCCTAGAGTTGGTCAGCCAGCAGGGTTGGGCTGGGGGTTAGGCACCCACCCTGCAGGAGGCAAGCCAGGCCAGGAGTGTGACCCAGCCTCCGTCCTGCCTCCCATGTGGCTGCAGGTTGTAGAAACCGTGAGAAAGTATGGTGTGAAGCTGACCACGGTGCTCACCACACACCACCACTGGTAAGTGCTAGGCTCCCCAGGCTGGTTTTTCTGGCTCTGGAGTCGCCTGTGGTGGCAATGGGGATGTGTCATTCACTTGAGGAGGGCAGGGGCTGGCTCAGTGCACATGAGGATGGATCCCTGGAGGATTCAGAAAAGGCACCAGGGTTCCTGCCCTCTTGCCCTTGAGCCTGGGAGGCATTGACTCTGGGCCCTGGGTGGTGGGTCTGCTGAGGGAGCAATCCCTTGGGGAGATGTTTGTGGCCTGTGTCCTTTGGGCTGCTTCACTCATGGTGTCTAGGAGTCTGGCTTCTGGACCACAGGAGGGTGCCCAGCGGCTGTCTTTCATATCTCTTGGGCTTGAAATGGGACGTGGGCCTCCATGTTAGGGAAGAAAAGAATCTAGATATTGGTGGTTTTTTTGTTTGTTTGTTTGTTTGTTTTTTGGTAGTGGGGATTGAATTCAGGGGACTTTACCACTGAGCTACATCCCCAGCTTTTTTATTTTGAAAGAATCTTGCTATTAAGATACCCTTGCTGGCCTCAAATTTGCTATCCTCCTGCCTAAGCCTCCAGAGTTCTTGGGATTATAGGCATACACCACAATGCCCAGCCACTTTTTTTTTTTTTTTAAATAAAAAAAAGAGTGTTTTTGCTTTTCTGTTTGTTTTGTTTTAATATTTGGAAGCTGAAAGCTGGGGAAAGTGCCTGTGTTTGGGTCTTTGGGGTAGAGTCGCCTACACCCAAAGCCCTCTTTTTTGGTCTTTTGAAGCTTTTGAGGCCCTTCAAGTGTAGAAGAAATGTTTCTTTTGTTGTTAATTTTCTTTTCCAAGTGACTATGTGAGGGCAGCTAGTGCCTTTTTCTTCAACCCATTCCTTGAGGCATCTCAGCCTGGATGGGGCCCCTGAACACCCAGGGCTTAGGCTGATGTAAGCCAAGTGTGGAGGACAAGGCTCAGACACAGAGTCCTTGGCCAGGGTCCTCTGAGTCCCGAAGAGGTCCCCGCATTAGGGTTGGTGCTAGTCACCCCAATCTTGGCCTGTGCTGCTGAATGCCCTGTGCCATGGCTGCCCTGCTGCAGGCGCCCCCACCTCTGAGGGCCCTGCTGGGGCCTGTGCTGCTGCCTGGAGGCCTCCCACTCTGCGCCCTGCCCGTGCCAGGCAGTCCACGCTCCAGGAGACTCTTGCTGGCGCTGCGGAATGCCGTGGCTTCCTCCAACACCCTCTCAAGTTTAGGCCAGGACCAAACCCTGGACGGAGCTTCGGGGATGGGCCTGTTCCCCATGCAGGGAGCACTATTCTTGTCTCGGTGGTAAAAGATCAGTGATGAGAGCATCTTGAGGAGCTGGTGGCTCTCTGGCCTGGGTGCTGGTGGGGGGCAGTGGGGCTGCACAGCTGTTCCACCCTTACCTGGGGCCTGCTGGGCAGAGGATTCTTGTCTGGGTGCTGGAGTCTTCATGGGGTGTGGACTCTGAGGTGGACATGGAGCGAGGTGAGCATGATGACCACTGGACTGTCAGGAGGCCATGTTCCCTGAAGTTGGGAAGGCAAGTGCCCCAGCCTTGAGTGAGGTCTGACCCAGGCATGGGGATGCTCCCAGTGGGGTCATTGTGGCCTGGGAAGGGGCAGAGTGGAACCCTCTGCTGCCCCCTTGCCAAGTGCAGGCTAGAGGACTCTCTGGGGAACCGTGGGAGCCCTGAGGAGTGCCAGGAGGTCCTCCAGCCTGTTATACTAGCACTGTGGCTGGCCTGCCCACAGATAGAGCCAGAGGTTCCTCAGGAAGCTGTCCTGATCTCGGTGTACCTTAGAATCACCTGGGGAACCTCCAGAACAACTGCCTCGGCTGCCCAGGCCAGCAGCACCTGAAGGTGACTGGGAGTGGAGCCCCAGTGCCTTGGAAGGGGTCATCCAGGTGATTTGTTCCTCTGCTTCAGCAGCAGTAATGGGCAGGGCACAGGGTGCCTTGCTCATGAACTGGGTGTCTGAAGAGGTTGTTCCAGTGCAGCCCAACCGCAGACGGGAGCCTTTCCTGTTTTGGAAGGTGTGTGTTTCTTCTTATGAGGAACAGACCTGGAAAAATGGAACTTCCATTTGGTCGAGGTGTAAAGGCAGGAGGCAGACTCTGCACCTGGCAGGTAGCCCAGCCTCCTGTTGAACTTCCAGGGACCACGCTGGCGGGAACGAGAAGCTGGTCAAGCTGCAGCCAGGGCTGAAGGTGTATGGGGGTGACGACCGTATCGGGGCCCTGACTCACAAAGTCACGCACCTGTTCACTCTGCAGGTAGGGAGGATCTTCAGAAAGGTGCTAGGGCTGAGCATCATTGGGATTGGGCCTGGGCCTCCCTGTGCCTGCCCCAGCCCGTCTACTCTTGGACAGTCTTCCCTCTTGGGAATTAGCAGGAAATCAGTGTGCACACAGTGTGTCCCTGGTGTTAGGAGGCTGTGGAGCACAGCCCTAGGCCACAAGGACTTGGGGTCCATGGAGCTCTCTTGGATGCATGATGATGGGCTGTGTGGAAGGGTGCCAGGATCCAAACAGCTTTCAGTAGCTCAGCCGCGAGTGCCCACATAGATGTGGAGAGTGGACGTGAGAGGTCCCCATGGGAACTCCTGCGGGTGTCTTGCCCTGTTGGCTTTGCCGTGAATCCCACTGTTTTGAAGTCAGAAACTGGGGAGGTGGGTGGCAGGAGAGCGCTCTCCCTGGAAGATCGCCTGGTTTTGAAGATCTGAACAAAATAAGCCCCTTTGCCCTTGAGTAATCACTCCAGAGTGGTCCCTGCATGCAGGGCTAGGCCCCAGAACGGAGTCCCTTAGCCACTGCCCCTGCCCTGGACCTCCTGCTCTGTATGTGGGCAGCTCTGCAGATGTCTTTGGAACACAAGGTCTGAGCAGGCTGGGTGCTGGGGAGGGGTCTTGTGAAAATAGCATTGCCCCCTGCCCCTGACCCCCTGGAAGGAGGGATCGTGGGGTCTCATGCTGATGCCTGCTGTTTCAGGTGGGGAGTCTCCATGTTAAATGCTTATCAACCCCCTGCCACACCTCAGGACACATCTGTTACTTGGTGAGCAAGCCTGGTGGTCCAGATCCCCCTGCTGTGTTCACAGGTGAGCCTGAGGAGTGAGGAGGGACCAGGCAGACTTGCAGGGACCACTTTCCTTCTCTGGCCCTAAGTTCAGTACTCAGAAGACTGTAGCCCTCAGGGTGGAGCCTAGGCTGGGCTCCAAACATTCTGGGCTGCCAAAGGGTGCTTGGGAGTGGGAATGCCTTCAGGACCAGATCCCCGCCACGCTTGCTGCTGTCAGGTGCTGGGGAAATGGCCTCACTTTGAGAAGGCCGTCTGGCAGGGACACCCCAACCCTCCAGCACAGACAAGTGGGCATGGCCTGGGAGCAGGGAGTCCCTGAGGAGGGGGACTACAGGGCTGCCAAGTGCTCCTTTTGCATCCCTTGGATGAGCCCTGTGGGCTGGGCTAGGCTGGACCCAGAGCATGGTGGGACTGCAGTCTGATCCAGATGTCCTACATACTGACCCCCAGTGATGGACACTGAGATCTTCTGACTAGATGGTGATAGAAGCCACCAAGTTGGGCAAGTGAGCAGCAGCCAGGTTTAATGGAGGCTCCTGCCTATAGAGACATGTCCTCCTGGCCCCTGGAGGGCAGAGGGGTGGCTCTGTCCATTCCTTGCACTGGGCATGTGGATTGGCTGTAGATACACCTGAGCATCTTGCCCTGTGCTTGTGTCACTTGCTGTCAAGGACTCATGGCACCCTGGCCTCAGCCATACAGCCAATACTGCCAGCAGGCTCCTGGGGTCACTGTGGGCCAAGCCAAGAGTATGGTGCTGCTCAGGAGCCTGAGCTAGGGCAGCCTGGATGGCCAGCACTGGGTGGCCATGGTGCTGGTGAGCCCTGTCTCTGGTTCTGTCAGTGACTGGTGCTGAGTCTTGAGTCCTGCAGAGATTTCTGCCCTGGCTTTGTGGGCCATGCGCTGAGGGAAGCGCCCAATGAGGGGTAGAGGGGCATCTGTCGTCTCCTTGGCTTTCCTGAAGGTCCACGATTATTCTAGATCATTCTGCGCTTGTTTGTAAATGCAGCTGCTAGATTCCTGATTCCCCACATGTAGCGTGTGGTGTAGGGCAGGGACCCTGGGCCATGTCAGCTCTGAGCCAGCCCTGAAGCAGGGGACAGAGACCTGCCGCATGGCTGTACTGAGAGGCAGCATGGGATGGGATTCCTGGGTGACTGTGTGTCCCTTGTTGCGGGCTGCCAGGCTGCACAGCAGCTGCCCCAGCTTGCGTGGCTCTTGTCCCTTGGGAAGGCCACATATAACTCCTGGGTTTGTCACAGACATCAGGAGGGCATGGTGGTCTTGGGATGCCCCTTCATGAGGCTGTCCCTGAACTAGAGGGTGATGTGGAGGGTGGCTGTGGCCTGTTCTTGTGCCTTGGCCTGTGTGTAGCTGTTGGCAGGTACCCTGAGTGCCTCAGCCCTGCCCCAGCGGGGACAAGCAGGACGGTGTCCTGGTGAGGCAGAGCTGTCTGGCCTTGACAGGGAGGCTGGTGGTGAGGAATGGCTGTCCAGTGGGCCCCCATGTGGGGCCTGGAGCCATGCTGGGCCCTCCATCCTGGCTGAGCCGAGGTGGGATCGGTGTAGGTGACAGTCCAGATACAGCAGGTGTGGTGGGTGTCCCCTGCAGCTGCAGTTAGAGATAAGATCCCTTCAGGCCAAGGGGTGATGAGGGGTGGTGGAGAGGAGGGTGTAGTGGCGGACTGCCTGGTCAATGTCTGTGGGAGGGCCCAGGGTTTGGGACTGGGTTTGGGACCTACCTTGTGGTAGTGAGGCCAAGGCCTCAGGAATTGCAGGAGGCGGCGGCCCCTGGACTCAACATCAGGGGCCTTGCCCAAGTCCTGCAGGGGCACGTCTCTCTGTCAGGGCGACACCCTGATACTCAGAAGAGGCCTCTGCTCCTGGCCCCTCACCCCTGCCCACTGCGCTGGGGTACCCAGGGCCACCACTGAAACATACCCTTCCACCTGAGGAATCTGGGGGCCATGTCTGCCATGGAAGGACAGCAGGGAGGTCCCCCATGGCTGACTCTACTGCTCTGAATGGTGGGAGTGCAGTTGGTGGGAGTGGTCAGTGCCAAACCACAGTGCCTACAAGGTGGGCCAGCATGGGTGCAGGACCCGGGTATGCAGGGAAGAGAAGTGGCTGGGCCGAGGCCTGCAGGGCAGAAGACCCTGGGTGCTCTCAGCTGCAAAGGGAGGGGAGGGTCAGAAGGAGGAGGCCTGAGAAAGGCAACTGCAGTGTAGGCTGGGAGGGCCCCTGAGCCATGGTGCGTTGGGGGCTGGAGGGTGGGGTCCCGGCGACATTGGTGAGACGTGAGGCAAAGAGTTCGGGGCAAAGACAAGAGTTCTGAGTTGTCTTGTGCTGGGTTGGATGGAGGTGGCTCCTGGGTCTGTATGGATGTGGCAGAGGCTGTGATCAGGGATGGTGTGGGGAGCTCGAGGCTCAGCGAGCCAAGGCCGTGGGTTTAGCCCGCAACCAGCTGGTGGCCAGCAGCCCAGCTCGTGGCCAGCTACCTACACTTCCCAAGGCCCAGCCAGCCCCCTCAGGTGGCCTTGTTTTCCAGGTGACACCCTGTTTGTGGCCGGCTGTGGGAAGTTCTATGAAGGGACTGCAGAAGAGATGTATAGAGCACTGCTGGAGGTCCTGGGCCGGCTCCCTCCAGACACAGTAGGCTGTGCCCCCATCCTGTGGGACCCCAAGTTCTAGGCCCACCCCAGGAGAACTGCCATTTGTATGGGTGACAGGATTCCTATGCAGTCTCCCTGTGCAGGCCCCACCTGTGTGCTGGGAGAGCAAGCAGGCAGGGGCAGCTCCTTAGTGGAGTTTTTAGTGGTTTCTGACATGTGTAGGAAGCGTCCAGCCCTGAGGGATGGTCCTGTGGGTACCCAGTGGCTGCATGTGCCCTGTGAGGTGCCCAGGTGGGGAAGTGGGTGTGACCTTCAGGGGTGGCAGTCATCTCCTTTCGGGTGCTGCTCTCTCCTCAGAAAGTCTACTGTGGCCATGAGTACACCATCAGCAACCTCAAGTTCGCACGCCACGTGGAGCCCAGCAACACTGCTGTTCTGGAGAAGCTGGCCTGGGCCAAGGTGAGTGCCTGGTACCCACGGCTGGGCCAGTTGTCCTGTTGTGCTCCTTGGGTTCCTGGGGCTGGGCACCGAGAGCCTGTGCCGTCCAGCCTCTGCAGCACGTGAGGGTTGTGTGGGCCTCGGAGGCCTGTGTAACACCAGTGCTGCCATTCAGAGCAGTAGAGTCGGCTGTGGGGGACCTCACTGCTGTCCCTCCATGGCAGACATGGCCCCCAGATTGCTCAGGTGGAAGGGAGTGTTTCAGTGGTGGCCGTGGGTACCCCAGCACAGTGGACAGGGGTGAGGGGCCAGGAGCAGGGGCCTCTTCTGAGTATCAGGCTGTCGCCCTGACGGAGAGACGTACCCCTGCAGGACTTGGGCGAGGCCCCTGCTGTTGAGTCCAGGGGCCACCTCCTCCTGCAACTCTGTTCTTAGCAGGTCTTGTGTTTGTCCAGCGTCTTTTCCAGTTTGGGGGAACTTACAAGGTGCTCCAAAATCACACGCGGTCTAGATCAAGTGACACACAGGCATGTGCCAGTGCCCACATCCAGGTGCTCGGGGTCAAACCCAAGGCCTCTCACATGTAGGCAGATCTGCCTTCTGCCTCTTAGTAACTAGACATAGAGGATGACCCACTTACAGGAGAGTGCTGGTTCAAGTGGCCGGTCTGGTTAGGTGAACTTGACAGCGTGCGCTGCAGACGTGGCACGCTGCTCCCCGGAAGGCCCCCTGGGTGTACTTTCTGCCCCCATAGTAGACTGTCATCGAGAGTGTGGGTCCTCTTGCTCTGCTTCGAAGGTCCTGTTGGCTTGCTTCTGTGTGGCCACTGCATGGATCCTGCAGTTGTTTGTCCATCCCCTATTCATGGCCTCCTGGGCCGTTTCCAGGTTTTGCAGTTGAGTGGTGCTACCAAGGGAGTTGGTGTACAAGTCTCGAGTGGGTCCATGTTTTAACTGCCCTTGGGGAGATGAGAGTGGATTGCTGGTCATGTAGTTAAATGTCTCTTTGCCTCTGAAGAAGCCACCCAGCTGTTTGCTAGAGTGGTTGCTCCATTTCACACCCCGGCTCTGAAAGCTTAGGTGATCCATTGCGCTGGTGCTGACCAGCTGTGAGCACTGCTGGCCCTTTGAGGTCTTATTGTCTTGATGGTGTGCGTCTGGACCTTATGCTTCTGCCATTTCCATTTCCCTGACGACAGGGAAGCTGGCCATCTTTCCACATGGCCCTCTCTTGTGAGTGCAAGTTCAGTTCTTGTCTGTTTTAAACACCAGGTTCTCTCTTTTATTGAGTCATAAGTGTCTTCTGTGTCTTTGTCAAATATAAATATATGGCTCAAATATTTTTTCCCAGTTGGTGGCTTCCCGTTTTCCCCAGACTCCTTTGAAAAACAGAAGTCGGTACTTTTGGTGAAATTCCACTTTTTGTTTCCTACAAAACCTTTGCATATTCCTGGGTCACAAAGACGGTTTTCTCCTGGAGTTTTGGTCTTGGATTTGGCATTTGTGTGGACTGCGTAGGGCGCGCTCCAAGCTGCTGCTGAGAGTGGTGGAGGGGCAGGTGTCCTTCCGTGGGTGTCTGGTCATTCACTGGCTGAAAAGCAGTCCTTTCCTCATTGGATCACTTTGGCATCTAAAGGAAAACGCTGATGTCCTCGCAGGCACCCTTGCCTCCGCCAGGTCTGTGTGGCCTTTCCCTGCATCAGCAGCATCCAAGGCCAGTCTTACGGAAAGGCCTGAAACCTGGTAGAGTCCATCTGCTGCTCCTCTTCCAAGCCTCCTGGCTCTCCGCGTCCAGTGCGTTCCCATATGATTCCTGCCACACCAGGATGGCTTTTGTTTCTCTTTCCAGTTCTGAGAATCGAACCCAGGGGTACTTTCCCACTCATCAACATCACCTTTCTAGATGTTCTTTTGAGACTGAGTCTGGTTGCCCAGGCTAGCCCCTACTTGTGCGCCTCCAGCCTCAGCCTCATTCTCCGCCTCCTGCCTGCACCTGGCTGAGCCATACTTTTTGTCTTTAAGAAATCTCTGCTTACCCCAAGGTTAGGAATTTTTTTTTCACATTGTCTTTTGGAAGTTTCATAGCTTAGCTTTTACCCCCCACCAGAGCCTGCCGGATCGGATCGGGAATGTCCCTCTGCCACCTGACTCTGGCAGTTCTCTCTGTGCGCCAGTCATGGATTTAATTGATTGTTTTGAAGAACACATTTCTGCCTCAATTTCCCCACTGGCTCCTGTCTTCCTGCTGCTTACCCCTCCTTCTAGGGACTGTGCATTTCTGTGCTCTCATTGCACGGCTCCTACGTGGGGCCTGGGGTCTGGGACTTCTGGGGTCTGGGACTTTAGGCCTTTTTTCTTTTCTTCTTTGCAGTGCTGGGGTAGAACCAGGGCCTCTTGCATGCCGGCACAGCTCCACCCTGAGCCACACCCCAGCCAGCCCTCTCTCTGTGCTTTTGCTCTTACCTCTGCTGTGTGAAAGAGAAAGCTTCCCCTCTGCCCTGCTCCCCGACAACAGCAGGGGCACATGCAGGCTGGCAGCAGCTCGCCCTCGGCTCATGTGAGTCAGGGCCTGTGGTATGCAGTGACCACACCGCTGGGCCTTCTCGCTTAGACCAGGTTTTAAGATCACCACTGGGTATTTGAAGTGTGATAGTGGCGTCTCTTGCAGGAGAAATATGCCACTGGGGAGCCCACGGTGCCATCCACCATCGCTGAGGAGTTCACCTACAACCCCTTCATGAGAGTGAGGTGAGTGGGCACAGTGGTCCCCCATGTGGCTGTGCCAGTAAGAGCTGACCCCAACCCAGAGCCCACGTGGTAGGCCTGCCTCATGGGCATCATTAAGCAGGGCCGCACCATTTCCCAAGTGTGAGAGCTTTCCTTGGTACCTTGGCAAGGGTGTGGGGTTCCAAGACCCTGGGGCCAGGGATGCTGTCATGGGCCTGGAGGCCTGGGTAGTGCAGGACACTGTGGAGATGGTGGCTTCCTGCCTCCTATGGTGCTGGAAGGACCTGGTGCAGCCGCACGATCTCCTGCAGTGGAGAAATACCTGCCAATTTCCTCGCCACAGAACCCCAGCTCTTCTGGGTACCCTGGGGGCAGTGGGCTGTGTGCTGGGGTAGTTGGCAGCTTGCAGATGCCTCTCACCCCCACAGGGAGAAGACGGTGCAGCAGCATGCCGGCCAGACTGACCCCGTGGCCACCATGCGCTACATCCGCAGGGAGAAGGACCAGTTCAAGGTGCCGCCAGACTGAAGCACAGCACCAGCACGCGGGAGAGGAGGGTGGGCGACCCTGGGATTGCACTGCGGGGGGGGGGGGGACATTGGTTCTAGGTCAACTCCAGAGCCCTTAGATGGAGTTACAAATGTTCTAATGCATATTTATAAGAGAAAAAGTTTTAAAGTATTTATTCCCACACCCTCTGCTGGCAGACTTTGCATTTTCTCTGGCCTTCACCTGTGGCTGTCTCCAGCCAGAGCCAGGCCCCGCCCTGTCCTCCTGACTCTGCAGGGAGAGTGGAGGTGGCTGGCTTGCCCACAGGCCCTTCCTTCCAGCTCCTGGCCTCCCGATCTGTCTGCCCACAGCAATGAAAGCCCACCTTCACCTGGTTCTGTGTCATCATTTTTGTGAGCTGACTTGAGCTCCTTGAGCAGAGAACCTGTCCCTTTCTGGACTGAGTGCAGTGCAGTGCCCAGGTGGACACTGCCAGTCCTGTGCCCTGGCTCCACCATCTGCTGTTCTGTTTCTTGTCATGAATGGGGGCAGTGGAGGAACGTCCCTGCCTGTTCTACCAGAGCAACTTCACACCTTCTCTAGGGCTTTGGGGCTCTGCACTTACCTGCATGCCCTGCTCCTGTGCTTGTCCCCACAGAAGCTGCCGTGTGGGCCAGTCCTGGAAAGTTCCCAGGAGGCTAAGGGGTAGTGCCTCGTCCTGTCCCAGCAGAGGGGCTATCTGAGGTGGTAGGCAGGTGTCCTTGGTGCAGCCTTAGCTGAGCACCGCTGTCAGGTTCAGGTCAGGACTGTCCTTACCTGTGTGGTCCCTGCTTGTGGTTTTACCACTCACCGTCCTTCCTCTTGGAGGAGGCTAGGTCCTGTGCTCTCCAGTGAGTGTCCCTGCTGCCCCAGCTCTTCCCCTGGCTGAAGAGCACTCAGCCTGGCCCAGCCCGGCTCTGGTTGCCCGATTCACATCCTGGGCAGTGGGTGGGGGCCGGGGAGGAGAGGGAGCAGCAACCCTAGATGTCTGATGGCAGCCTGACCCAAGATGGAGGGGAGGACGATGTGGTGTGGAAGAAGGGGCACTGCCCCCAGCTTACTGGGGAGAGGGGCCCGTCAGGGGAGTCAGGTGGCAGGTCTGTGGGCGGTGTGGATGGCTGTGCTGCCTGCTCTGGCTGTCTGCCTGCTCTCCTGGTGTGGCCACAGTGCTTGCCTAGGCCCCAACTCCACTGAGGGCTCTGTGGCCCTGCAGTGGCCACGTGGGCCATACCACTGTGAGGCCAGACACCAGGATGTCTCTAGAATTTCATGGCGATGACAGAGTCGTGCCTTCTCAGAGACTGATGCAGATGGGACCTCAGCTCCTCCTGCACCCACAGAGGGGGCAGGACCCTGTGGGTGGCACGGCCATGTGCACTCACCCATGTGCGCTGTGGCTGATGCCCTCCTCTGACCCCAGGTCTTGGCAGCATTATCTCCACTGCCAGAGCCGTGGGTGGGGAGGCCCCCCTCCTGCTCTCCTCCTATGGGTACAGCATGCAGGGGCCCACCCATAGGTGCCCCACGCCCTGGGAGACTCACCAGGCCTGAGGATGTGTGCTCAGCCCTCTGAGACTTGCTTCATTTTCCCCTCACCTGGTGGCCATGGGAGGTGCCAGGAAGTTTCCCTGCTGATGGGGACACAGTGGCCTCCTGCTGCAGTGAGGCTTCCTGCCTGTGAGGGTCCCCTGGGCTCGTGAGAAGTGGAGCTGCTGGGCCATGGGTCAGTCATCTGCTGGAATGACAGTCCTGTGGGGACACGGTCTCTGGGTGCTGGCAGGCTGCTGCCTGTGCCCATGGTGCTTCCTTGGCAGCAAGAGTTGCAAGTGCTGTTTTGTGTCACGTGTTCTGCGTGTCCTTTGTGATGCATCCCTAGAGTTGATGGTCTGTCACTGGCTTCCTGCTGTCTGGTCGGGTGGCACCCCTCCTCATGCCGGCCCAGTGTGACTTCCTTACCTGTGGTAAATGTGTCCTACTTAAGTAGGACACACATTTCCTTCTGTGGGGAAAGTTGAAGGTTTTTGGTGTTCTTTTCACATTCAGGTTTAAAACTCATGAGAGCCTGGGTGTAGTGGCCACGCCTGTGATCCCAGTGACTCAGGAGGCTGAGGCAGGAGGATTTCAAGTTCAAGGCCAGCCTCAGCAACTTAGCAAAACCCTGTTTCAACAAGAAATATCAAAAGGGCTGGGTGTGTGTGACTCAGTGGTCAAGTGCCTCAGGGTTAAATTCCTAGTGACAACAACAAAATTCCCTTGAAAATGGCTCTCCTGCCCACAGGGGATGGGTACCCAGGTGCCTGCCCACCTGTTCTGCCAGCCTCTGCAGTGTGAAAGCCTCACGTGCCCACACTCTGGCAGCAGGCTTGGCTGGCTGTCCTGGGCCAGTGCCATGTCCTCCTAGCACTGCGGCCATGGCGTGCCACATCGTCCCCCTCATCGCCAGAGAAGGATACTGGCTCCCCTTGCACAGGGCAGGGTCCTGGGCGGCTGGCCCCTTGCTCCCTCTGCGTACGTCAGGACCTTCACCTCTGAGACCAGGACTGGCATCACGCTGGCTCAGGCCAGGGAGGGGCTTTGGCAGCATGGGGTCCAAGCTGTAAGTGATCTTGTCCAGCTAGCTTTTTGCTGCTGCTCTACTGCATGAGGCCTGGTGCCTGCTACCCAGTGAGTGGGACCCCGGGCTGAGGGCACAGTCCCCACCAGTTTGCCCTCACCACGACACAAGCCACAAGCTTAAGGCCCAAGCCACTTGCACTTCTAGCCACAGAGGACGCAGGCTTAGGATCACAGCTTTCACACAGAGGACGTCTGGGCCAGTTGGGGGCCCTCTGTGGAATCTAGCTACTGTCACCTCCACCCCTCACGTTCACCACTGGAAGCTCCTGGCCAAGGGTCCTGCCCCACTGGCCCCTGAAAGGACCGTCCCAGCCCCTTCTCCTCCCTGGCTCTGTCTTTCTGATGAGCAGTTGGGATGTGGGCCAGAGGCTCAAAAATGACAGACCTGAGGATGAGGCTCCTCCCAGGGCCAGGCACCTTCGCCTTCTGGTTGGGCAGTGCCCCTCCTGCCTCCCACAGAGCACAGCTCTTGCCATGCAGTGCTCTGGTGTGGTCGCTGCTGAGCCCCGAGCCTCTCTGTTCCCCAGGGAACCGGCACCCAGGCATCTGTTAGCCCCAATGTGGCTCCGAGGCCTTCCTGCTAGAGGGGAGGTGCCCAGAAGCCTCCACTGGAGGGTGGCAAACTCAACAGGGCTCTGGGTGCCCTTCCGGTACCTTCCCGCACCTTCCCGCCATCCAGGCCGCACACGTTACAACGCACTCTTCCCAGCACCTCCAGAATCAGGGTGTCCCTGGAAAAGTTCCCGTCAGGGAGAAGGTTAGACCGTGGGATAGAAGGCATCTGCTGGGTAAAACATCACTCAGGATCTTAGTAACTTTCTTGCTAATCAAATGTAAGAGTCATTTTTCACCTAGATAAAATTCATATAATATAAACTAACTTTTTAAAAAAATATTTATTTTTTTGGTTATAGATGGACACAGTATCTTTATTTTATCTTAAGTGGTGCTGACGATAGAACCCAGTGCCTCACACATGCTCTACCTCTGAGCCACAGCCACAGCCCCAGCCCAAAGTTAGCTTTTTTAAAAAATATTTTTTTTTAGTTGTTGACAGATTTTTATTTTATTTATTTGTGTGTGGTGCTGAGAATCGAACCCAGTGCCCCACGCATGCTAACAAGCACACTACCACTAAGCCACAACACTAGCCCTAAGCCTGGGATTTATTAATTTAATTTTTAAATTTCTTTGGTACCAGGGATTTGAATCCTAGGACATTTTTTTTTTTTTTGGGGGGGTGGTGGTGGTCCTGGTGGTTGAATCAAGAGTGCTCTACCACGGAGCTAATCCCCAGAACTTATTTTAAGTCAGGGTCTCTCTAAATTGCTGAGGCTGGCCTCAAACTTGTGATCCTCCTCCCTCAGCCTCCTAAGCAGCTGGTTTATGTACCACTGTGCCCAGCACAATTAGCTGTTTAAGTTGCACAGTGTGGGGACTGAGGTGTGGCTCACCAATAGAGTTCTGGGACTGGACACCTAAGGCCCCAGGTGCCATCCCAGTACCGCACACCCCAAAGAAGAAGGGAAACAGTCCAGAGGCATTTGTGTACTTACAGTGCTGCTTACCTATTCCTCTAATAGTTGGAAGCTGTCATTCATCAGTCTGCCAAACCATGCCAAGTGGGGATTCTGGGAAGAAGGCTTCCCCCAAGGTCGGGCAGGAGTCAGAACCTGGAGGATCCAGCAGAGCCTGGCCTGGGACTGGTGACAGCAAGAGGTTGGCCCTGCCTCCACACTCCCTCCCCAGTGCTGTTCCCTCTGATCCAGTGATCCATCCCTCAGCAGTCACCTCTGCTCAGAAGAAGGGTCACTCTGCTCAGACCCACACATGCCTGGGAGTCCACTGACAGCAGAGGCAGGACACGAGATCCCTTCTCTGCCTCCTCGCCACCTCGGGGTCAGAGTTCATTTGCAGCCGGGTATGGTGGTGTGCACCTGCAATCCCCGTGACTTGGGGGGCTGAGGCGGGAGGATCACAAGTTTGAGGCCACACTGGGCAACTTGGCAAGACACCATTTCAAAATTGAAAGTTCTGAGGGTGTGGCTCAGAGGTAGAGCACCCCAAGTTCAAACCCCAGTAACATAAAGTGTGTGCTGTCCTCTAATCCAGCAGGACTAGAGGTCTGCAATAGAAAGTTCAGAAAAATACCAAGAAATTAAATAAAACGTTTCTAAATAGCATCTGGGCCAGTGGTGAACAGGAAAACTAGGCACAGCCAACTAGTGTGCAGAGGGTGGTCCCAGCCCTGCACCAACTGGAGAAAAGAAAGGAGTTTTCAAGTAGGAATGTAGGCTACACTTAAGAAGCTAGAAAATAAACCCAAGGAATCACAAGGAAGGAACAAATTAGTAAATAGAAAACAGAAAAGACAAGCAAGTGAAAAGGTCCACACAATGGCAAACCCTTAGCTAGACCGGCCAGCAAAATGAGGCCAGAATTTCGAAAACCATGAGTAAGTGGAGAAATCACTTGATTCTACAGACGTTGACAGGGCTTATGAAGAATAAGAGGAAAACTCCACACTAAATAATCAGATGAAATGGGCAAGTTCTTAGCACAAATTGACTAAAGAGAAACAATGAAACAGAATGGTGCCTGTGCTTGTAGCCCCAGCAAGTTGGGAGGCCGAGGCAGGAGACTCACTTGAGCTCAGGCATTTGAGGCCAGTTTGGGCAACTTAGCGAGACCCTGCCTCTTAAGGGGGACAATGATATCTGAATAGATCTACACCAAGAAACTGAATTGGGAAGCCTTCAACCTTCCACGTGGCTTCCCGCCATATTCTGTGGATAAGACCATCACTCATAGTTTCCAGGACACACAGGAGGGAACGGCCCCAACTCTCCTTATGAGGCTGATATCTCACCTGGGACCAAAGCCAGAGAAAGGCATCGTGCACCAAATAGAAATCGATTTCTGTCAGGAACAGATAGGAAAATCTCTTGATGAAGTCTCAGCCAGCAGGGGTGAGCAACGTCACACCATGACCCAGCAGGACTCGCCCTAGGAAGCAGCTGTTGGCTGGCTGGAGCGCGCCTTGGTAGGTGCTGGGCAGCGACAGGGCCTGATGGTGGCGAGATCCCTCACTAGACAGGAGAGGAGAGTTCTCCGCCCTGAGGACCTCTGTCTCTTGCTGCTGCCACAGATCACCAGGTTTACCATATAGTCCTGGAGCCCAGAAGCTGATGTGGGCCCCTCACTGGGCTGGATCAAGGTGTCAGGAGGGCAGGTTCCTTCTGCAGGCTCCAGGACGCTTGCAGCATTCCTGGGCACAAGGCCCCTCCTGCCATCTGCAGTGCCAGCACCAGCAGCTCAGCCCTGACCTTGCCTCTTATACACCGCCTTCTGCCTCTTCTGCTTCCCAGGCCAATGATTGCACTGGACTCCTCCAGAGAACCCTGAATATTCTGTCGAGGTCAGTGGAGAGCAGTCTCCATTCCTGTCTGCAGTGAAACCTCACGTGGCCACAGGCTCAGGGATCAGGACATGGATGTCACTGGTGGGGAACAAGATCTACCCTCCTACTGTGTTTACGAAAGCACACTCTGGCACTGCAGCCAATGGCAGGTGACTGAACTGAATGAGGCTGGGACCACACCCCTGCCCCTGGCGAAGCCCGGGCCTGGCCTGCCAGGAGCACAGGGGAGACAGGTGGGCGGCCCACCTGTGGGGAGGGAAGGGCAAAGCCCCATCACAGAGGGCCCCCACAGGCAGCAAGGCCAGAGGACATCAAGTAGAGGCCTGGGGCATGCCATCAGCAAAGATCAGCTCACACCTACCTGAGTCCAGGGCCAGGGGACACATTACATTCAGCTATGAGAATGGGATCCTAACCAGACAAGTTACACTCCACGTATATGAAATACGTCACATAACTCTACTGCCACAAATTTTAAAAGATTAAATTTAAAAATAACAAATTTAAAAAGATTAATTCACTTTTTTAGGATGAGGGGCTGAACCCAGGGATGCTCTACCACTGAGCCCTAGCCCCAGCCCCCCATTTTTGTTTTGAGATAGGGTGTCACTGAGTTCCTGAGGGTCTTGAATTGTGATCCCCTGCCTCAGACTCCCGAGTAGCTGGGATTATAGTTACGCCACTGTGCCTGACCAAATTCATTTCTGTATACTAGATATCCAAAATAAAATTAAGAAAATTCCATTCACAATAGCATGAAAACTAGTAAAATACCTAGGAACTACTTGAGCACAGCAGTTCAAATGCTGAAAACTACATAAACTGAAACTTAGCGGAGAGCTGTTAAATATCTAAGAGCTGGGTGCAGTCCCATACCTGGGATCCCAGTGCCTGGCAGGGTTGATGCAGGAGCGTTCCCAGTTCCAGGCCAACCTCAGCAACTTAGTGAGACCCAGTCTCTAGGGATGTGCCCTGTGGCTCAGTGGTAGAGCACTTGCCCGGCTGGTGTGCATGCATGAGTGAGGTCCTGGGTCTGACTCTCTGCATCACCAAAATAAAAATCTTAGTGAAGGGAAGGCACTGTGCTCATGGGTTGGAAGGCCACTGTTGAGAGGACAGCTTGGCCACAACAAGGACAGAGCACAGACACATGACCAGCATGTGTGGACCTCGAGGACGTGCCCATGGGAGGAGCTGGGCATGAGGGATGTCCTGCAGCTGGACTGGCCACTCCATGTGGTCCATGCGTCTGCTGGGGCTGCTGTATGTTGGTGCGCTTGTCTGGGAAAAGCTCTGAGTGCAGGATCCACACACCACAGAGCCATGTCAGGAAAGACGCAGGGGAGGGCAGCATGCCCAGCAATGTTCAAGTCACCCCAACACGCTCTAGAAGAGCGTTTCAGCCTGACAGAGAATGAAGTTGAGGAGGAAAAAGGATAATCGAAGAGTGTCAAAAACAACCAGCCCGGCACGGCAACCACACCTGGGACCCAGCACCTTGGAAGCTGAGGCAGAAAGCTCAAAAATTCAAGGCCAGTCTAAGCAACTTAGGGAGACCCTGTTTCACTGAGCCATGCTGGAGGTGTGGCTCAGTGGTAGAACACCCCTGGGTTCAGTCCCCAGGACCAAAGTAATGACAATAGGAAAGAACCTAAAAAGCACACACAGGTCACAATAGAGACACTGCAGAATCCCCTGTGGGGAGATCGCAGCCCAGCTGTGGCCTGAGGCACCCCCTGAAGGAGGACCTGCCTGCCCAAGTCAGAACCTATGGAGGGGTCCATGGTAGGGGGCTGCTGCTGCAGGGATACAAACCCCAAGGGAGTGACTAGAGTCCTGGAGGAGCAGTGAGGCCACCTGAGCCGTGCGGGGACAGTGGCAGCAGACCGCAGTTAAGGCTCAGGTGGACCGCAGCTGAGACAACATGAGAACAGAATCCAGGCTGTGTTCAAGGACTTGAAACCCCAGACCTGACAGACTGGTGACAGACGCTGTGGAACCAGCCCTCTATGTCCTGTAGGGCTGCGGGGATGGAGCTCAACCTGAGATCTGGGGCTGCCTGACAACCAGGAGCTCTCACCATGGTGACCAGCACGAGCCAAGCCACAGTGCCAGAGAAGATGCCAGCATGCTTTCAAAGACATCTTGGATGGCCTAGCAGACACGCCCACATGGTGGCTTCCAGGGCCAGCCAGCCTCTGGAAAGGCGCTGGGTCCCCTGGGGACTGATACAGCACATTAAAGCCACAGTGCTACCCTCCATTTGCCAGCAGCAAAGCACAAAGACCTCTGGAGGCATTTTTGAGGATGGGGGTGCTTGGGTCTGCACCACCCAGAACCCTGCAAATGCACCCCACGGGACTCACAGCCCTTGGCCATGGAAGCACTGCTGGGAACTGCCTGGGAACCATCCCACACAGGCAGAGGCACCTGCCTGATGTCAGAGGAAGCCAGAGCCCATGCTTAGCATCACCATGCACCTGAGGGCCAAAGACAGCCCTGACCTCAAGTCAGGGACATGCTCCAGTGGCCCAGAGTGGCTGCCAAGGAGCAGGGCCACACTGGGGCAGGGTACGCATCTTCTGCAGAGCCCAGGGGCTGAGCAGTGTATCATGCATACCCCTATGTGGCCGTGGAATTTGAGAGGCTGATGTGGGCCTAACCCAGCTGCCAAAATCCTGATTGGGGTGTCCCCACCATACAAAGCTGGCCTTCAGTGGACAAGAAGATCCCAGCCCCTCTTCTCCCAAAGTAAACCACGGTGACACTGACTCCTCTTTCCAAATCTACCTGGGAGCCAGGGTGGGGCTCTCAGAAGAGGCCTCGGCCGCTGGCCTCAGAGGCCTGCTGAGGCCGCACTTTGGCTGTGTAAACTGCGCTCTGGGCTCCAGGCATGGACTTTCTCCCTGTGGATCTATAATTTCTCAGAAGAGAGGTTGAGGAATGAACTGGAAAATCCCTGGAGACAGGGCAGCACAGGTAGGATCTGCAGTGCCCTGCTCCCCACTGTCTGACCTGGTCGGCCTCTTCCTACCTCACAAAGAGGTGCATGTATAGAGAGCCCCAAGCCCCCCGAGCAGCCCCTCTGCAGCCCTAGTGTTGCCTTTTCTGGCACTTTCTGTGCATCCTCATTCCCACTGTTCCGAGCAGGGTGGAGAGTCTTGAAGAGAGTCTGCTGGAGGCCATGGGGTGTGGGTCAGGCCTCACCCACCAGGCCCTGGAAGAGGGACTCGAAGCCAGGGAGTGGAGCAAAGCCTGACCACCCAGGGGTGACCTCTAGCAGGCCAGACACCAGGTACCCGTCCCTGTGGTCTGCATACAATGGGGTGGCCAGGCCCTTGGCCAGGTCCTTGATGGAGACTTGCAGGAAGTAGGGGGCAGGTGGAGGCTGACCGCTGGGCCACAAGACCTGACTCAGAGTACAGGCTGCCCCACTGTCTTCCCTGCCCGCCTCTCCTAGGTCAGTGCCAGAAGAGGCAAACACAAGGTGGCCAGTGGCCCTGCCAGGTGTTCCTAGAAGAGGCCTTGGGGGAGGAGCAGTGGTCAGACACTAGCTGACCTTGAGGTCACAGGTGGGGCTGAGGCTGGGCCTGGACCCTGAACAGCCCCTGGGCCTGGAATGTGAATGCAATGCGGCAGGCAAGGAGCAAGGCAGTCAAAGGCCCACTCAGGCTGTTAGGAGACCCCAGGGCAGGCAGCATGCTGGGCAGCTGGGCTGGGCATTGGGAAATGAGGTGGCACTGGTTTAACCTAACACAGTCAGACAGAGTCAGGGGACCCTGGGGTCCCTGGTGCCCCAGGAGCTGCCCAAGGGCCCCTGCTTGTATCAGGAGCTAGTCATTGGGTCCCCCAGGCGCGTCTTGAGCACAAGCCCTTCAAAGGCTGCTGTCGGGGTGTCCCTGCCCCCACCTCTGGGCGCATCCCACCTATGGGGGGCACACAATGGACCTGATGGCCCCCAGAGCAGCACCACAGCCCACCTCAGATCCTGAAGGAGGCCTCAGGGTGGACAAGGCCCCAGCCACTTCCCTGCACTCTCTGACCCAGGGGATCTGGACTAACACTGGCTGCCCGGCATGAGGGGGTTAAAGGGGCTGGGGCAGGGCTGGCTGGCGGGCTGTCCCTGCCGTGGACAGGGACAGGAAACACAGGGCAGGGGCAGCCGGCCCAGCAGACTGCCTTTGCTCATTGCCTGCTGCAGCCTGCTCTGACGTGGGATGGCCTGCAGCGAAGGTGAGGCACCCAGCGTCCCCTGCCACTTGCTCTGGGGAGAGCCAGCTGGTGACCCCCAGCCACTTTCCCTGTGGGGCGGCCACAGGGAGAGTGCAGGGCTCAGCTCTGGGAGGGCTTGTGGGGACTTTCAGGAGTGGGAGGGGAGCACAGCTGGGCCTGGAAGGGACGGCGCTCAGTGGTGCAGGAACGGAACTAGGTCTCCTCACACCCCCAAATGGGGGGTTTGCCTGGGACCCTCCACCCAACCAGAGCCCACTGCCCTCTCAGGCCCCATTCTTCTCTGGTCCTGGCTCTGGGTGGGTGGGAGACTGCCTTGCTCCTTGCCCGTCTCTGTGGGGTACCTGGACTAGCCCCCCAGCAAGCCAGCACTTGGGACCAACTTGGGCCACCTTTCCTCATCACAGCAGAGGAGCAAGAGGTGGGGGTCTGATGTGCTGCCTCTGACCTCACCTGGGACCTGGAGCTCTCAGGGCAGGGACAGGAGGGACCCAGTAGGAGATTTTGGGCACTCTTGTTGGGGAGGCTGCTATCTGGCCCAGTGGGGCCTGATGCCTGGGGAGTGGACAGTCTGGGTCCCCCTCTGCTGTGAGGCCTGTGTCCTGCTCTCTGTCAATGTGGGCAAAGGCCCACATGCAGGCTGTACAAACTGGGGAACAGGTGAGCAGTGCCCCCTAATTCGGGGCCTCATGGAGGGGTATCTGGCTCACTGTCGAGCCACAGAGGGCAACAAGTAGACACCCCATCTGGGTCATCTCCAGAATATTCCAAAATCAGTCAGATCCTGGCTGATGGCTTCTTCTACCTTCTTCTGGGCCAGTGTGGCAGCCTGGCTCTGCTCAAGCACATGCCTCAGGGACATGGATGCCACATGGCTGGAGGGGCTGTGCTCATGAGGCCTAGGAGAAGCTGGGGAGCTGAGTCAGGGACTGCCACCTGCCGGCCTCCTGGGTGGCAAGTGCAGTCAGCTCCTGAGCCAGCTTGACCACCAGCTAGTCTCTGATTGGTATTTAAGTGGGGTGACCATGTCTCAGTTTATAAGTATGACCCTCCTCTTGCTATAGCTGAGGTCTGAGCAAGTTTGGGGTCTTGTTCACCTCCGGGGGACCCTGCCAGATCCCCTCTCCCCGCAGGAGGCCTAGCCCTGGTGGCACTGTTGGTCTCCTGGGCAGCACTGGGCCCCTGTGGCCTGGGTGGAGCAGAGCCCAGAGTGCTGGCAGACACCGAGGGCCCTCAGTGCCCGGCCATCTGCATCTGCAGCTATGAGGACGACACGGGGGAGCTCAACGTTTTCTGCAGCTCGAGGAACCTCACGCACCTGCCCATCGGTATCCCAGATGGCACCAGGGCCCTGTGGCTTGATGGCAACAACCTCTCTTCCATCCCCCCAGCGGCCTTCCAGAACCTGTCCAACCTGGACTTCCTCAACCTGCAGGGCAACCGTCTGAGTGGCCTGGAGCCACAGGCACTCCTGGGCCTGCAGAACCTGTACCACCTTCACCTGGAGAGGAACCAGCTGCGGAGCCTGGCAGCTGGCTCATTCGCGCACACACGCAGCCTGGCCTCACTCAGCCTCGGCAACAACCTGCTCGGCAGGCTGGAGGAGGGCCTCTTCCAGGGCCTCCCGCATCTCTGGGACCTCAACCTTGGCTGGAACAGCCTGGTTGTGCTGCCCGACAAGGTGTTCCAGGGCCTGGGCAGCCTCCGTGAGCTGGTGCTGGCTGGCAACAAGCTGGCCTACCTGCAGCCGGCGCTCTTCTGCGGCCTGGGAGAGCTTCGGGAGCTGGATCTGAGCAGGAACGCACTGCGTAGCATAAAGGCCAGCGTCTTCGTGCAGCTGCCCCGGCTGCAGAAGCTCCACCTGGACCGCAACCTCATCACAGCCCTGGCCCCTGGCGCCTTCCTGGGCATGAGGGCGCTGCGCTGGCTGGACCTGTCGCACAACCGTGTGGCCAGCCTCCCAGAGGACGCCTTCCCTGGCCTGCTGGGCCTGCACGTGCTGCGCCTGGCACACAATGCCATTGGCAGCCTCCGGCCTCGCAGCTTCAAGGACCTGCACTTCCTGGAAGAGCTGCAGCTGGGGCACAACCGAATCCGGCAGCTGGCAGAGAAGACGTTTGAGGGCCTGGGGCAGCTGGAGGTGCTCACGCTCAACGACAACCAGATCCAGGAGGTCAAGGCGGGTGCCTTCCTCGGCCTCTTCAACGTGGCTGTTGTGAACCTCTCTGGCAACTGCCTGCAGACCCTCTCAGGTCAGGTGTTCCGGGGCCTGGCCACACTGCACAGCCTTCACCTGGAGGGCAGCTGCCTGGGCCGTCTGGGCCCCCAGACCTTCGCAGGCCTATCAGGACTGCGCAGGCTCTTCCTCAAGCACAGCGGCATCTCCAGCCTCGAGGAGCAGAGCCTGGGAGGGCTGCACTCGCTCCAGGAGCTGGATCTTACCTCCAACCAGCTCTCACACCTGCCCAGGGGGCTCTTCCAGGGCCTCAGCCAGCTGGAGTACCTGCTGCTCTCCGGAAACCAGCTATCAGCCCTGCCTGCAGACCTCCTGCGGCCCCTGCAGCGGGCCTTCTGGCTGGACCTCTCTCACAATCGCCTGGAAGTGCTGCCTGAGGGCCTCTTCTCCACACTGGGCCAGTTGCGCTACCTCAGTCTCAGGAACAACTCCCTGCAGACCTTCCTGCCACAACCTCCAGGCCTGGAGCGCCTGTGGCTTGAGGGCAATCCCTGGGACTGTCGCTGCCCACTCCGGGCGCTAAGGGACTTTGCCCTGCAGAACCCCAGTGTTGTGCCCCGCTCTGTCCAGGCTGTCTGTGAGGGTGACGACTGCCAGCCCGGGTATACTTACAACAACATCACCTGTGCCAGCCCTGCCAACGTCTCGGGCCTCGACCTGCGGGATGTTGGCGAGGACCACTTTGCACACTGCTGAGCCAGGGCTCCTGGCTTGGCACCCCTGCGCTTTCACTGTCCTCAGCTCCTGGGCTGCTCATTCACTGGGGCTAGCAGTCCTGGCAGCTCAGGATGCTTGGGTGGGCGCAGGCTTGTATGTACCCAAGGGCCTGACCAGAAGGTGGAGCACAGCAGTGTCCCAGCTGCCAACAATTAAAGTGAACTAGCAGACACAGCGTGTGACCTCAAGAGCTAACCCTGGGGAAGGGGAGGTGGCTGTGGTCTCCCATCCAGTCCTGTCCCAGCTCTGCCCATCCCGGGAGCTACCACCTCAGTCCTCTGTGCCCTGTGTCACTCTCTGGCACTGGCCCAGACTCTGCTGTGTCTTCACAGCTGCTCCTTGGCCCCAGGACACCTTCCCCACCTGAGGAACCATAGGCATTGACTCAGGTCCTCTGGAAACCTCAGCAAAATGTCCCTCCATCTGGGGCATCATGTTGTGACCAAGGAGTGTATTCTCAGGTGTCCTGGTCCCTGGCAGCCAAACACAGCTGTGGTAGTGGTTGGGGCCCTGCAGCGCATGCTGACAGCAAGCCAGTGAGGAGATGGAGGCACACCTGGTGCTCCCCAGCTCTGCCAGTCTCCCCTTTGGGAGCAGTGAGCTTCCCTGGAAGGAACACGCTCATGCTGCCACTCTGCTTCCCACACAGGGTTCTCCTGGCCTCACCAGAGAGAGAAAAGGCCCCTTCAGCTCCAACTGACCCCAAGTTCTCTGGTCTCGGCTCTGCCTTGGCCTGGGGTGTGCCGCTCTATCAGGGCTACATGTCCCCTCAGGTTTCCGACAGCACAAAATCTTGCCAAACTCTCCCCAAACAACACACAGACATGTCTCACCCAAGTCTCCAGGGGCCTGGAACAAGGGAACTGTGGCTGGTCCAGCCCTAGGCTTGAGAGAGCAAAAACTGTCACCACTAAGGACAGAAGCATCCAAGGCGTCTGCTGACCAGGCCATTTAATAGTAGGTTCTTCTAAAGTCACTGTACACACCTGAGGCCAATACACCACCTTACAAAGGCTCCCCATTAACAGTTGCCTGAGGAAGGTGAAGTCCTGGGAAAGCGTGGAAACAGGGTGGATCTCGGCTGTGTGCAGCAGCCTATCCCTCCAGGGGGCAGGTGACCAGAGCTGGGACCACTGTCCCACAACACCAGGACCTGTGCCAGTGTCAGCCACAGGCCATTAGGTGGAACCCCAGCCATAAGCCCCACTTAGAATGCCACAGAGACATCTCCAATGGCAGGGCCAGGCAGGTGTCCACAGAGCACAGGTCACAGGAACCACACCCACACCCAGATCTCTGCTATGAGGACAGCCCTTGGCAGCATCAGGAGGTCATGGGGCTGCCTGTCAGGAGAGCAGAGCAGGTGTGGCATTCAGAACTTCCCGGGCTATGGAGGCAAGTGCAGGAAACGCAGGGCTCTTGGGGAACTCCTGGATGAAGTCGCGGCCCTCTTCCAGGCTCCTGCTGAGCTCAGGATCCAGGGGCACAGAGCCTATAGGATGGAGAGGTGCCGTCAGGCATCGTGCCCACATGTGGGCCATGCTGTTGCACTCCCAGCAGGATGTCCTGCCTCTCATGATTGCCCAACGAACATGGGACAAGCAGTGGGGATGTCAGTGTCCCCAGCAGGAGCCAGGTGGAGGGCAGCTATCCTGTTTTGCTGGAGACAATCAAGAGCACCAGCGCCTTACTCTGGAAGACGAGGTCATGATGCCTGTTGCTCTCCCTCCCTGGCATTCAAGCACAGTCAGACGCACCCACAGGAAGGGGGAGTTGGGTCCCCGATGCCTGCCTTCAATACTCACCTAAGAACGGAACTCCGGCAAGCCGAGCCAGCTCCTCCCCGCCACCTCTGGAGAAAATGTTGGTGCACTCCTAGGAGACAAGAGCCACATGGCGTCCACTGTCACTCGCTCACCATGCTGAAGGCCAGGGAGACCTAGAGCAGGGTTTCGGAGTAGGCCCAAGTGGTGACAGCATCCTCCACTTCCTCAAAGCCCCACCTGATCTGCACGTGCCCTGGCACCCATCCCCCTGTAAGAGCCCTGACATGTCCCAGGACTCACGGCACAGTGTGGGCAGGCGAAGCCGCTCATGTTCTCCACGACCCCCATCACTTGCAGCCCTGTCTTCCTGCAGAAGGTCAGCTCCCGCCTCACATCCCCCACAGACACTGCCTGGAAATCAGGAGAGACCACTAAGCCAGTCTGCCACTAATTCAGTCTCATAAGGGTGTTGTCAGCAGAAAAAGTACCCAGCCTAGTGAGGAGGGCATAGGATAGGGCCGTGGTGGTACCTGCGGTGTGGTGACCACGAGGGCCCCCAGGGGCCTGTAAGGACGCAGGGCTTCCACGGCGGCCATGTGCTCATCAGAGGTGCCGGGGGGTGTGTCCACAACTAGGTAGTCCAGCTCTCCCCAGGCCACATCAGACACAAACTGCTTTATCAGTGCTGCAGAGACCCGGGGTGGGGTAAGCAAGTCTGTGCTATAAGGACCAGGGACCCAAGGAAAGAGCGAGCCCAGACGGATGGGACTTCACTGCCCAGCCCTGGGCTTCATCAGCCTCCATCAGACAGGCTTCGGATGCCCTGGGGCCACTGCAGCTTGAGGCAGAGCTCCAATCACAAGTGGGGAACTCTCAGGGTAACAGGAAGGTGGAGGCTGCCCCTGCCCCCACAAGCACTCCTTTCTCCTAAGCTCTTGTGCTACCCTCCACACCCAATCTCATCCCAAACCCCAACCCTGCGGGGCTGGCAGCTGACCCCACGAAGGCCTGAGCTCAGGGCAAGCTGAGGGTATCTGCACCCAGGCTCTCAAGCCTGACGAGATGGCCAACAGGAGCAGCCCCTGCTCTGTGCTTGCAGCTAATTCCTGGAAGCCTCCCCTGCAATCAGTCTAGAGGAAGCAGGGCCCAGTCCCAATACCATCTCCACACTGGGTGGCCTCAGGCACCTGCAGTGTGAGTACAGTCTGAGCAGACCCCTCACCTCCCGACTGGGAGATGGAGATGCCACCCACCAGAGCCATGCTCTTGACCTTGGGTCTCATCTCATGCCCCCTAGAGCGTGCCTGCCTGCTTGGCCATGTGCAGCAGGAGTATCTCTGGGAGAAGTTGAGTCTCCAAGATGGAGGCCAAAGCTGGATTTTGGTTTCATTCAAAAACAGTGGCTAAGCAAGAGCAAGGACGACAGCCCTGCTGCTTTTCAACTCTCAGCACTAAGGGGTCAGCTGGGAGAGAACAGAAGGCTGCCAGCCATGGCCCTGCTGGGTCATTACCACTCTTCTTGGGACCTCTCCACACCACGGCCTCGTCTGGCCTCTCCAGCAGGAAGCCCACAGACATGAGGGAGATGCTCTGCTCCTGATCCACAAAGACAGGCACCCAGCCACTGTCACACTGGTGCACGGCCCTGCCCTGTGCTTGGAGCATGCGTGGAATGCTGGGGCCACACAGGTCCACATCCAGGATCCCTACCTGCAAGGAGGCTGATGGTGAGGGCAAGGCACAAAACAGCAGACAGACCTACCAGTCCTGCCTGGGGGCTGCGGGGACGTGTGTCCACCCTCATGCAGCAGGGGAAGCTGTGCAGCTCAGGGCAGGTATTAGTAAGCTGTGGCTGCTGGTGAAGCCACTGGATTGGCCCTGAGCAGGGGCCTCACCTTCTTGCCCTCGTGTCGCAGTGCCAGGGCCAGTTCTGTGGAGATGGTGCTTTTCCCAACGCCCCCCTTCCCAGAGAGAACAAGGATGATGTGCCGCACGCCAGACAGGTTCCCAGGCTCTGGTGAGAAACAGAAGTCAGGAGGTCAGAGATTCCCCGGAACAATAAGCCCTCAGTGAGCCTTCAGAGAAGGTCACCAAATTACTCCCTCTTCCTGAGTTCTGACCGGGGCCACTGCTCCTCTCCATCGAAACATGAGCAAGGACAGCCCGCCCCGCCCCTAGACCTAACCTTCCCCCACTCCGGCGCTAAGTGGAGCCTCCGCTGCTCCACTTTATAATGCGTACATATGCAGCCCTGCTTGTGTATGGGTGCATATGCAGTCCTGCTTGTGTATGCGTGCATGGGCGATAAAAATGCTAAAGTTGTAGCACCCTGATAATGCGGCAGGACACAGGTGAAACCCTCGGTCACAGCCCTGTGCGGTCTCCACACCCTCCACAGCCCCTCTCCGCGGTGAGGAGAGGAAGCCCCGGGCCTCCGGTTCTCAAGGGAAGGCCGAGGCTCTGAGGACCAAGAGCAGCCACAACCCGGCGGGCGTGCACCCGCGTTGCCTAGAGGACTCCAAGCCGCGCTTTCCCGCGCTGCTGTGGTGTGCCGCCAGAAACCGCGTAGACACCGGCGGCCACGGTGCGCCAGGGTCCCTGACTACCGCCTGTGCGGGAGGCAGGCGGGGCACTCCTTGGTGATACAAGCTCGTCCCGCACGCTCACCCAGGCCCACACTGGGGTCCCCGCTCGCAAGTTCACCAGTAGCCTCCATAGCACCGTCAACCGAGACCACGGGTTCCTTCCGTTTCCTCCCGCGGACCGTTCGCCAACAGCCAGAGTAAGGAGCCTTTGAGCCAATGGTTGACGACAGCTCACCCTCGGCTCCTTTTGATTGGCCTGGTCTCGCTTCCTTCAGCCAATCAAGTCGTCCAAGGAGTTTCGGAGCATTGCCCTTAGGTTCCGGCTCAGATGACGTAACGGATCTGGACCTACTTCCGTGTCCACGTCCAATGGGAATGAGGGTCTCAGGTATGACAGCTCAAGCTGTGACCAATTAGAAGATCGTATCAGGATTGACGTGCCTTACAACCTCTTGGCAACAGCCATGTCCCGAGAGGCCCGCCCCCGCGCGAAGCCCCAGACTGAAGCGGCCGCCTAGCCGCCGGGCCAATGCAGCGCGGGGGCGGGGATTGTTTACGTCCCGGCCGGAGCCGAAAGTGGGTCACTGCCTGCGGAGCGCGGCTGCGGCGACTGCAGGTGAGCGGCGCCCGGCCTGCCCGGCCCCCGGCGGCAGCATGCTGACCTTGCGGGCGGTCGGGCCCGCCGCCATTTGTCCCCCGGGGCGGCACGCGGGAGGCCGGGCTGGGACCGCGGGTGGGCCCTGCCTGCTGCAGCTCGGAGGCCGCGGGCCGCGGGCGTGACAGAGCCCTCCGCCTGGTGCCGGACACCTGGACCATTCATTCG